ACTTTATGTCTACATGGTTTTCATAAGTCTCCCCTTACTTTCCTCCAATCTCATAGCACTGCTCTACTGCTCTACTGCAGGCCCTTTGCTCTTTTCTGTCAGGTTTTATTACCTGGCATATTCAGCTGTGCCTCGGACTAAACCCAGTTTATTCTATGAACTGCTTTTCGACTAGCCACGTGAAAGGGGATATCAACGAAGCCACCACTTTGCTCAGAATAAACACCAGATAGACAAGAAGGTATCAAGTCTAACTTTGGCACCAAGGGCTTCCAGAGCTGGGGTATACTTTTACCTTCTTTTTAGGTGTGTCACCTTGCACCCCCCTTTCCCGTACCATTAGTCCACCTTTGGGTCTTGTTAGTCTCTGAACAGAGTCAACGGTATCATTTCTCCATCTCTTAGCAATCTCTCTCAAATCAAATCATCAAATATATGGGGCGGTTAATAATTAGGTCTCGTGCATTTTTCATTAGTATAGTCCCAAGAATTTAATGATCTTGATGCTACTGTAAAATAACGTTCTTCAAATTTTATTTCCTAATCTTCCATCACTAATTGCAATACAATTCATTCATTCCAATGATAAGTAACTTTCATATTTTGATCTTTTTCCTTACCACAGCATCTCTTGTTAAGTTTCAGGAACTTATTTGGTGATTTCCAAAAGTTATCCAAGTACCTTACCTTATTGCCAAAATTAAAAACTCTGATGCTTGTAATAAGAATTTCACTTATTTCCTTTCTTGCCTTATTCTACTGGTAAGTCAATGCTGAGAAGAAGTGACTTGCCTTACCCCCCATTTTAGGAAGAAAGTACTCAGTCTTTCCCCATTAAGTATGATGACAGCTGTGGATTTCTAATGAATGTCCTTGACCACACAGAAGCTTCTGTCTACTACCAACTTGCTGCAAGTTGTATCACCAGTAAGTATTGAACTTTATTAAATTTTTTGATGTATCCATGTGAGATGATCAACTTAAAATTGTTACTATTATGATTACATTGTTTTCATAATTAATGGACTTCTTTTAAGAGCAGTTTTAGATTCACAGAAAACAACCAAGCAGATTCTACCGAGTGTCCCCACAAAACCTCTCTTCCCAGGTCCCCTACACCCCTTCTTCTACTTTTAGTATCTGGCATTAGTGTGGTACCTCTACTATGATGGACAAGCTCATACTAACATACTGGATATAACTGAACCCCAAGGTCTACATTGGGGTTCACTCTTTACAGCTGTACAGTTCTGTGAGTGCTGACAAAGGCCCAGAGTCATGTAGCCACCCCCACAGTATCATGCAGAATAGCCACATCACCCTGAAATCCTGCTTCACCAGCGATGCCACTCCTATGTGAATATAAAAAATAAGGCAACGGAACAGTGAAAATAAAACCACATCAACCCCCTAGATTCAAACCACACACCTGAGTTTTCCGGTGGGGAATGGGCTGGAAGGTAAGGGAGGTGGGGCTGGAAGACTAGGGGCGGTGGTGGGGGTAGACTATGGTGACTTGGGGGACATCATGTGGAAACAGACGTGGTGTAAACCAACGTTATCTCCCTACAGTAAAGACATACTGACATTGTTTTCCTGAACACATAATTAAACAGAAACAATGGTAATTGTTAAATAAAATTGTTTTTAGTATATTCAAACTTAGTACTTTCTTTCTTTAACTCTCCTCCTCTCACTCCCCTGGAACCACTGGTTTTTCTTCTCTATGAGGGGACCCAAGTTTGCTCTGAATGTTTGACTTTTAACTTGGATTTAAAGTGGATCTGGCATTTGTTAAGTGTTGAACTCAAGACAGCAATTATTAATAGTAACAATGATAACAGCAGTCAAAGAACACAGCTCTAGTGATGGACAGAAAGAATGTGAGTCCTTCCCTGTACACCAGATGATAGGAGCAGTGATCACCCAACAAAATATTCAAGATGACAACCTCCCTTCTATGCTTTGTCAACCTCTGAACAGTCAATACTATCACTTCTCCATCTCTTGGCACATCTCTCTAAAACCAAATCATCAAATACATAGGGGTCTAATAAATTTGTTTTGTGCATTTTTCAATATTGTGCACGCACTAACATACCCCCCAAGAATACACCAAGAACTAAATGGTCTTCAACCTACTGTAAATAATATGGTGTGGTCTGAATCTTGGGGGTTGATTTGGTTTTGTTTTCACTATTCCTTTGCTTTAATTTTTTTTAAAGATTTATTTATCTATGCATGCAGAATTGGGATATAGGCCAGAGGTGCAGGGGCAGTGAGAGGATTCACCAGAGATAGAGTGGGGATCAAAACAGGTCAACTGATGAAGTACACTGCTGAGGGGAGCAGCAGGCAGGTCAGGAGAGGTCTGCCATGCCATGTGGGTCACCTCTGAGGCTGGGGATCGAACTCATGCTGAAGTGGCTTTAGCCTCTTAGTGCTGTGCTTTAACCTGCTGCGCCACCAGGGAGGGCCCTGCTTTGTTCTTTATATTCATGTAGGAGTGAAATCCCTGGTGGTGAAGCAGGATTTCAGGGTGGTTGGGGCTATTCTGCAGGATACTATAGTGATGGCTACATGACTCTGGGCCTTTGTCATAACTCACAGCCCTAAATCAGCACTTTTACTTTAGAGCCTTTCTTAGTAAATTACCCAAAATCCTTACTCGTAATACACTAGGTGATGGTTGTTATTTACATAAGTAGACATCATTGTTATCATCACATAAGTGGACATCATTTCAACAACTGCCCAACAATCAAACTACGTACATACAGGGAGGGAGCTTACCCAGATTCCCCAAACTGCAGTACTTATTTTTCACTAGACCCTTCAGACCCTGTGATGGTATCAGAAGCATAGTCCTGGCTTTAGCCTGCCTTTATCCAGATGGCTTACATCCAAACAGCAGGTTCATCTCTCTGAATTTACAGCTTCTCTTGGACCTCTTCTCTAGTTCCTCACCAACCTGGTCTATCCCACTGTGGACAAGTGTAGGATTTTAATGTCTTGTTCAGTCCTAACTGTTCTCAGTGGAAATGGTGATACAACTGATGTAATTTGTTGTTTTTTGACTGCAGAAGTCAGAATAGGATCATCAACCTATGATTTCCACAGTTATTTTGCCTCTTGTAACATTGAACTCAACTGATTTGACAAATGTCACATTGTTTACACGCTCCCCATCCTACCCTGTTCGATTTATAGCATCAGCTCTGACTCCTGCCCAGAATAAAGATCTGTTAACTCCAAACAACTGTCTTCTTGAATCCTTCTGCTAATTAGTCATGTCAAAATCTCATTACTTTAATCAAGTTCCATTTTATAAAATTACCATTCAAAGCATTTTCCATTTGCTTTCAATATTTACAATTTCTCTGCAAAAAAATATAAATGCCTGTATCTAGCTTAGAGTCTTTTTAAAAAACTCTAACTGTGTCATTCATTTGACGTGAAGATGACCTTTGTACTCTCCAATGTGCCTTATGGCAGGTACATATATATTTGAATATGGCAATTTCATGCTAATTTTATTTTGAAAATTTCATGACCCATCTTACAACTATATCTGCATCAATAATTGCTCAGGCAGAACTTCCTAGTCTCCCAGAACTGACCAGGGGCCCACTGCTTCCACTTCTGTAATACCACACATCTTTTCTTTCTCCATAGCACTCTTATTGTCTGCCTAACGTGCTTTCCTCACTGGAGTTAAACTTAGTGCCAAGTGCACCACCTATACAATGCCTTTAATAAACACCAAGGGTAAAATTTTGTATTTCAAATGATTCTCATATTCTAAAAGCTAAGTTAAGTTTCCCTTCATAATCCCACAGGAAGGTTAGTCTTATCTGCTCTGGATTCCATCACGTCTTAGATTCTGACCATAGAACATGCGAGTATAGCCCATCTTGACCCCATTTCAGAAACCAAAGCCATTACTTGGTCAAGAGTTGGTCAAATTTCTCTTTCTTTTTGGCACTAAATGCCCCTACCGATATCCAATAAATCCTCACTGGTAACAAAATCAGTCTTCAATTATTCAAGGGTTTGGTCATTCAGATTCCATGCTTCTCATATTCCTTCTCCCCACCTACTTTCTAACTTTGGGTTTCCTGCAGGTAAACGTGCCATTTGAGACTAGCTGAAGCAAGCAGGCAACTCCCCTCAGCAGGCTTTGTGCCAGGCTGCAACCCCCTTCAATGCACAGAGTTGGTGGGAGGTTGAAACTCTGTCTAAATGTTTGGGGAAATTTTCTAATGATATCATCTATTCTTAGTAGGACACAGAAAAGGCAATTTGTCTGTGAAGAGTCACAGTTTCCACACCATTATACTATATTACCATTTTTGTTCTGCTTTTTTTTTTTTTTAAGATTTATTCATTTATTCATACAGAACTGGGGTAAAGGCCAGAGATGAGGAGGGTGAGAGGATTCACCAGAGACAGAGTGGGGAGCACAACAGGCAGATCGACGAAGTACACTGCTGAGGGGAGCAGCGGGAGGGTCAGGAGAGGTCTGCCGCGCCATGTGGTCATCTCCCGGGCAGGCGGGGATCGAACTCATGCGGAAGTGGCTTTAGCTTCTCAGTGCTGTGTTTTAACCCGCTGCGCCACCAGGGAGGGCCTTGTTCTGCTTTTTAGTGATGATACTGTATATTTACAGCACTCTCCCCACCCCAACTATGAATTAGGACACAGTATTTTCTCTCTCTGACCCTTATTTCATCATTTAAAGAGAACCAGTAAACTGACAGGTCTACTCTAAAGATCAGAATATTCCTTCTGAGAATGAAATGAGGTAGGAAAGTGCTCTGTAAATGCACTATATTTTTATATCATTATCAACATTAATTGTTCACGACTTAAGTTTTCCATTAGAAGCTAGTTTTTCATCTCAAAAGGAGAGGTGGTTTGCATGGGTTACTGTGTGGCTGAAACCTTGTATTTCGGCACACTGAGTCGGTACACATGCCAAATTCTATGTCAGAGCTTACCTTGGGAGGTTTCCTTCATGATGAAAACAAAGCATTTCAGCAGCAGAAGTAGAAAGGGTTGTCAACACAGCAGCCACATCAGAGGGAAGCAATGAAAGAGAAAAACAGAAGGAAAACTTAGCATCTTGATAACATGATCTGAAAGATATTCTTCATTACAAAGATGAAAGGTCACACTTACTTTACTGTTTGAATGATAAATCTTTGTATTTGCTCAAAAATACAGCACAGGCATAATGAATTTCTCTCTCAGTTCAGTGAAACAGAATTCAGTCCAGTCATTCAGAAATATTTTAATGACTCAACAATTTACCAATAGAAGGGAATCAAGATCAAAGAAATGCAATAATTATATTACATGTGGCCAAATACTTTTTTTTCTTAAAGATTTATTTATTTATTCATACAGAACTGGGGTACAGGCCAGAGATGTGGAGGGTGAGAG